GCGAGATAGCCTTGGCGGCCGTCACCACCAAAAATACAAGGATGTCAAATAGATAAGCGAATACAAAGATGGTTTAAGGATCAGCTGCAGGATAGCATAGCTAATAAAGGAATGGCATGGTCTTCACCTTACGTCACAAGCAAGCTCGACGATTCGCCACACCATCGAAATATTTCAAGTAATACTAAGCAATTTCATGTTCAGCGTCTGATGTTCCGCAAAGCTATTCGACCTAACGCTACACCATTTGTGTCTACGCTGTACCATTCGACATTACGCTGAGCCATTTCACGCAACGCTACACTGTTTGTATGTACGCTGTACCATTCGACATTTCGCTGAGCCATTTCACGCAACTCTACACCATTTGTGTGTACACTGTACCATTCGACATTAAGCCGAGCCATTTAACGCAACGCTACACTGTTTGCATGTACGCTGTACCATTCTACATTACGCTGAGCTATTTCACGCAACGCTACACCATTTGTGCATACGCTGTACCATTCTACATTACGCTGTACCATTTGACGCAACGCTACACCGTTTGTGTACTGTATTGCAAATTAGTGCTAGGCTATTCGCAATTGAGCTAGTCCATTTCACAATTTCATGTTCCAACTCGACATGGGTAACTAGACCGTTTATCATTTGGCTAAACTATCCATGTTTAGAGTGTTCTGTTTCACGAAGGAAAACTAAACCGTCTATAATTTGGTCATGCCATTCCTTTATTAGCTATTCTATCCTGCAGCTGTTCCTTAAACCATCTTTGTATTTCCTGATCTATTTGACATCCTTGTATTTTTGGTGGTGACGGCCGCCCATAGGAGCCCTTTATGCGAATATTTTATCTTGTGAAATGAAACCGTGACAATAGCTTGCGTTTGACATGTTAATCACGTGGACGTGCAGTTTGGAAATATTCATCATTGAATTATAGTAAATCATTTTCAAATAGCTTTTGTAGTAAGAACATGGCTGGTCGGTTTCGCTCTCCAAAGAGTAAAGAAGAAGAAGAGACCAGTCTACTGACGGAAGCCTCTCTGATAGCAAACACAATACAACACTTAATGGGGTAGAAAAGTCTTTGAGGAATGGCAGCAGCGGCGGCAAATTATATGTGCAATGTGAGATTTAGCTGGAGTGGCCGATCTGAAGCGAAGATGTTCAAGATCTGACCTTTCCATTAGAGCATATGTCGCCAAATACGCTAAACTTCTTGTTGAGCAAGTTCGTTTGTGAAGTGTCCGAGTAAAATGGAGAGCGTTATCCGCACAATTCGCCGTATTTGTTAATTAGCGCGATTAACCGTCATTTGAGTGAGACGGGAGGAGAGGATGTATTAGACGTTCTCAACAAAGCTGACAAGAGGCATGTAAACGTTTACATTGTATGTAGACAATAGATATATGACATTCTAAATGCAGTTCATTTTTCTTTGTTATATCAAACTAGTGATTGAACTTGTGATTGAATGGCTCGGCGTAATGTAGAATGGTGCAACTTACATACAAACAGTGTAGCGCTACGTGAAATGGCTCAGAGTAAAGTCGAATAGCACAGCGTACGCACAAACGGTGTAGCGTTACATTGAATAGCTTTGCAGAACATCAGACGCTTTAGCTGAACATTAAATTGCTTAGCATTATGTGAAATATTTCAATGTTGTGGCGAATGATCGAGCTTGCTTTTGGCGTGACGTGAAGGCTATTTCGCCGATTTAGTCTTGTTGCTTTTTCAATGAACACTTTCACGAACGACAACGAATAAATGCAATATCGGCAGGGAAAAAAGGACAAACTTACCGAAAAGTTACGGCTTTGCTTTACGGCAAGGCGAACTGAAGACTCTTCAATACAGCGACTACACCATGTGATCGTTTCGCGTCAATCTTTATATTCGATGACTTCATGCCCTCAAGCAGATCGCTGCACTATCTTTGGTTTGTATCTTTGGTGGTTTCGTCGAGATAGCCTTCACGTTAGGCTACAAGCAAGCTCGACGATTCGCCTCAACTTCGAAATATTTCATGTGATTCTAAGCAATTTAATGTTCAGCTAGAGCGTCTGATGTTCTGCAAAGCTATTCAACGTAACGCTACACCGTTTGTGTGTACGCTGTATCATTCGACATTACGCTGAGCCATTTCACGCAACGCTACAATGCTTGTATGTAAACCGTACCATTCTACATTACGCTGAGCCATTTCACGGAACGCTACACCGTTTGTGCGTACGCTGTGCTATTCGACATTACCCTGAGCCATTTCACGCAGCGCTACACCGTTTGTATGTGCACTGTGCTATTCGACATTGCGCTAAGCCATTTGACGCAACGCTACACCACATGTGAGTACACTGTAGCATTCGACATTACGCAGAGCCATTTGACGCAACGCTACACCGTTTGTGTACTGTATTGCAAATGAGTGCTAAGCTATTCGCAAATGAGCTATTCAATTTCACAATTTCATGTTCCAAATCGACATAGGCAACTAGACCGTTTATCATCTGGCTAAACTATTCATGTTTAGGGTGTTTTGTTTCATGAAGGAAAACGAAACCGTCCATAATTTGGCCATGCCATTCCTTTATTAACTATACTAACCTGCAGCTGATCCTTAGACCAGCTTTGAATTTGCTGATTCTTTTAACATCCCTGTATATTTGGTACGTTGGTTGAAATAACGACCACGTGACTGAACTTTATCAAGCAAACCCTCCCAACATGGAGGGCTTTTATCTCCTCCTCCTTCTGGTGGAATTGAGTTCTCTTGTAGGAGGGGCAGTCGTTTACCCTTCATTACAATGGAACTTCAAAAATCCTCAGTAAGTATCCTCATATAGTAAATGATAAACTAGAGAAAGTCAGCTGACTGAAGCAAGGGAAATGAAAAGCTAACATATGATGTTAGCTCTTCATTTCATATTTTGTATTATTGTGCGTTTAATTGGAAAACTTTCAATTATAATTAAAATTGCTATTCCATATGGCTTACGCTGTTATGGGTTAGGAGTGAGTTTAAAGATAAAGTGGTCGCGAAATTTTGCTGAAAGTTAGATGTTAACGGCAAAGTTGACATTCTTTTGGAAAGTGATATTGAAATATCTTACTGGATTGAAATGTTTCCACTAATGTTTGAGTTATTTTTGGTAAAGATTAGAATGTTATATTTTGATAGACGACAATATTTGCACAGAAAGGTTTTTTTCTGTGAGTTTTCACAATGTTTAGTGCTTGCTATGTATATCCAGGGTCCCCAAGCATGTTAAACATTAAAACACAACTCCTCTTTTGTGTTTACATTTAAAAGCTAGAAGTATTTAATTTACTAAAATACTGACCTAACAGTATTCGCCACATCACAGGAATACCAATCATTTAGTGATATTTTTACAATACTACTTACAATGTGGCAAAAAACAAAAAGTTTCAGCATTTTGAAAGCACTCCAAAAGGAATGGTGACAGCACTTTGTGTAACACCCTGATACTAAAAAGAATCCTTTTATAATTTAATACCAAGAATCTAATACCACTTACTGACAAATTACAAAAGTATGGAAAATATCTGCACAACATGAAAACTAACAGAAAAAAGTTAAGGAATATGTAAGAGGGAACAACCTTATACTTAAGCCAGCAACTTTGGCTTCTCCAAATTGAAACATCTCCAGTTGGAGATGTTTCACTTTGTCTGTGGGATCCAGCTGCTACAAAAATAATTTTATCAGATGAAATTCTGATGAATCTATGTCTAATACTGAAATTACTAACATGTATGGCAACCCAATGTACATGTCACTATGATAAACCATTATTCACCAAAGTGCAGGGGAATAGTAGTGAATATTTACTGAGCCACAATGTGGCAAAATAAATGTCTACCACTTTCATCAATGCTAAGGTGAATCTTTGTCTTAGTATATACCACACTGAAACCAAAAAAAATAGTTTATTTCAGCCAATTTACCACAAAGTGGTCAGAAATTAACCTTGTGATGTATAAATTTATCTATTAGTTGCTGGGAAATAAAAAAAAAAGTTGCTAATCACTTCTGAACGTATGTATCAGCACTTGCTTAATGGTGACTATTAATTACTTCTAGGGATATATGAGAAACTGTTACAGTGGTACTTTCCAGAACCTTACAGTCATTTAGATCTGTTTTGTATCTAACCTCTCCTTTAGATTTCAAGAGGGAAAGTTGCACTTTAGTGTGCTACCGGGTTCAAAACTGAACCTGATCTGCCCTCATGTAGCAGTATCCTTTGTAGAGATGGATGACACAGATAGCATGCTCTATTATGAAAACGTTTGGAGAGTTGACAACACAAGCTACCAGACTTGTGAGGTTAATACTACCGTAGCAGAGAACAAGATGGTACTAAAGTGTGCTGATCCTCGAAAGATTCAATTTACCACAGTTGTCTTTCAGCGTTTCAGTGCTGTTAATTCCCTGGTATTTGAGCCAGGAAGCACCTATTATTTTATTTGTAAGTGTGTGATGTTTTGATTGCATCTTGTAATTATCTGGTAAAGGGTTTTGCGGTAGAGGTCTTTTGTTGGTGAGTAGAAGAATATCATTTTCACTAGCTGTGGTCCTGTCAGAATTGATCATGTGTACTCATGGTCACTTTGCATAGTAAATTTATTGGTTGATATATTAACAGATAATTGATCAACGTTATTATTTACCATAAATCTAGAGACTGTGAACATCTAAACTATGCCTGGAAAGTTGATTGTCTAATAACCAATCACATCAAGATCTTGCCACCACAGAAACCGTAGACACTAAATGGGTTGCCTTTCATCAGGAAACCAATTTTGTGATCATTTTGTTTCAAAATACATCTGTCTGCAAAAATATTATTCAGATTGGCCAAACTTCTAACATCCCAAGAGACATGAATAGTTTCCCAAATCAAATAAATTGAAGTCTTTACCCAACCAAAACTAACACCAGGGTTTATAGTGCCAGTAACGAAAACACCAGAATTTCGGGGTTCTATATTATCTTTTCATTTTATGCCGCAAATCAAATTCACCGTGTCGTGTGGCTCATGTGTACGGTCCGTTCGGTACCATGTACTTTCGCTATCAGTCGGATCGCTACTAACGACTCTTCGATCGCTACCACTGGGAATTATCAACAAAACATCGATGAAACTTAGTAAAAAGCCACAAAGATTTACAAAGAAAGAGTATATCTTGAGTGATCATTTCAAAGTACGATCGATCAAGACGAAAATCCGTTCGCGACGAAACACCCTGCTCACTAGCTTCCATACCAAATCCGTCTCTACCAACTTGGCCCTGATGAATCTAACAAGGTAATTTAGTGTTGTCAACTGAGTTGAAAACGTAAATTGGCCACCTTAAAGAATTTGAAGGTTGATGTTTCGAACGTTAGCCCTCCATCAGAGCGACTGACGAAGGACTAACGCTCGAAACGTCAGCCTTTAAGCTCTTTACGGTGGCTAATTTACGTTTTAAACTCGGTTGATAACACTAAATTACCCTGTTGTACCTTCCCACCGACGCAGCACCACAGTTTTTCTAGAACCTTACCCCCTTGGCTTTGATGAATCTATTTCTGCATAGACAAACCAGTAAAAAAATGTATGTTAAGGAGTTGTCGCTTAGCTTTAATACCTTACATCTAGAAATCGATCGACACGCGACGCCATATTGTTTTCAAGAAATCAACAACCTCCGTGAAAAATTTAAAACGAAATGATTAAGTACCCTAACCTAAAATAAATTGGACACAGTTGTCTCATTTAAACGTCTAAAACTAAACAAATGAGCTAAAGAATCGATTTCCGTTCGCTACCGGGTTTTCTAGGGCCTCACAATAAAGAAAAGTTAACCATTCCTTTCAATGCATAATTCGTAGGTCATTGAGGTTAATGATGTGGTGGCTGTTAAAAGGGCCTTTTTTTGTTTATTTATTTTTATCTTTGGCAACTTAGAAATGATAAAGTTAAGCGACAACTCCTATACAAACATTTTTACACTGATTTGGCTTTAAAGAAGTTATAAAATTGTTATATTATACAACCAACTTTGCTGAGGCTAAAACTTTAGTGGTAGCGAACGGACTCTTGGCTAATAGATTGAATATGTCTGGGTCGAGTTCGATTCATTTGCTCATTCGTTTTGTTTTTGACGTTTATATGAGACAACTGTTTCCAATTTATTTCAAGTTAAAAGACTTTGGCCTACCATTAGCCTACAATTGCTCTTATTCATCTTTTCTACCCTTACCTGGAAATGCAATCATATTACATGATATTACTCTCGGGCTCAAACTGTTTACATCTTGGGTTATGCTTGCAGAGCTTTCAAGTCTTTCTAAACAAATTCAATCTTACGCTCTCAGGCTGAAGCCATTACTTCTCACTCCTTTAAGGTTTTGGATTTAAACTGTTAATTTTGAGATGGTAAACTACTGCTATAGTCAGGTCCCTTTAAAATGAATTCAAAATCCTCATAATTATGATTTACTCCTTGTTTGCTTTGTTCTCACTTTGAACTCTTTTCAACAGTGTAAATCCTCCTTCATTTGTTTAAAATTTTCCAGGGTGAGCATGACATCCTCTCCCTTCTCCATGTTGTTGTCCATCAAAAATCATACCTACTGTGACCATAATGCTTTTTCAAAGTATTTTAACCAAGAAAACTCATTTTTCTCCACTTTGTATTTGCAGCCACCTCTAATGGTAGCCTCAGTTCTCTGACAAATGACAGATATGGACACTGTCATACAGCAAACATGAAACTGGAAATACATGTTTGTACAGGAACTGAGGGTAAAATACAACTGTACTTAAATTAAATTGCCCGTACTAATTTATGAAGAGAACTTGAAAATTTATCCTTGAAATTACTAAGAAATAATTGGCTGATTTTTGGATGCAGTGTTTTTGGGAACTCACAGAATCCTTTATAGCTATTTTTTAATATCTTGACTTCCAAAGATAAATGCTACTGGTATTAATTTTTGCTAAAATGGGAAAGAAAAAAAATGAGAGTGCCTCTTAAAGAATCAAACATTCATCCAGTATGTAGTGCTAAGATCACTAGTGTTAAAGATGTTGTTTCAGCTCTCCAGGGTATGATTGCCTTGGTTGCCATGATGACTAGAGAAATTTTGGCCACTACATTGGCAGTGTAAGTGGTCAATTTGGTGACTAGTGAAAAGTGGTCATTGAAGCAAGCTGAAAGGTTTTATATTTACATTTTTATGGTCTGATAAAATTTTCATGAAATAGTAGTCAAAAGCTCTGTTTTCAGCAATAAAATTTGGCTCTTTCTCATTAGTTTCATGGTATATTAAAAGCCTTGAGATGTTGGGTGAATCTCCTAGAGCAAATGCTAGCTATTATCCCTAGAACAAGTGGCAAGTTTTGTTTACAGTTGCCCAAATCAAGTTTTTTTTTTTCTGGATAGCAAAATTATCTTATTCCTGACCTGTTTACAATTTTGGTCCCTTAATGGCAACTTTAAAAAATAATCAGGCCTGGAGCTCCATGTTTTATGTAAAAAGGATGCAAGAGTTGCTCTAATTTTAATTTGGTTATTGTACTTACATTTTAGATCCAGAGTGTAAAGAAGCATCCAATGATACTACTACTGTATCTACTGAGGTTACCACTTCTGTGAGTACACCCATACCTGGTGCTGTAGGAACAAAAGCAGCCAGGTCATCATCTTTTTGGGGTTAGTGATCTTTAAGTTCATTAATAACTTAGGCTTCATCCTTACCTTTAGACTTTTTCTTGTCTGTTAAATAAATGTGAAAAAATTATGATGGACCATCGAAGGAAAAAAAAATGGCTGATAGACAGATGGAATAACCAATGAACTAATGAGGAGACAAAAAGATACTGACAGGACAAGAGATAGACAGGCAGAAAAGATAATTAGGTTTTATCAACTGAGTTAATAATGCAAGTTGGCCCCTTTAAGAGAGTTAAAGCTTACGCTTTGAGTGTAAGCCCTTCATCCAAGCAAATAGAGAAATTATGGGTTATGTGTGTGAGTTATATGCAGAAGATGGAGCTATGCTATTAGTGGGAACATGGTAAAGAGAAAAACAAGAATAAGACAAACAGATAGACAGACAGAAAGACAGATGGACAGACAGTTAGACAGACAGTCAGACAGACAGGATGGTAGGTATACAGATATTATTTTAGGCACTATACTTAATATGTTAAATTGCCGCTGTGTCTACTGTTAAATTTATCTTTACAAAGCATATAAAATTTGATATTTTTTTTCTTGTCTCTTTGGTCACATGAAGGAAATTGGCTGTCAATACCTTTTGTCATCCTTGCGGTTTGTTTTGTTGTTTCTCTATTGGTGAACTTGCGCATGATTTGGTGAGTTGTTGTTGTAAACGGTAAATTAATTAGTGCAATACCCATTTACTTCTCAGCATGTATATAGGGACAAATCTAATTTTATATGAAACACAGAATTAAAAGCAGCTAAAAAAGTATTTTCAGGTAACAATTTAGGTTTGGAAAGAAAGTATTCATGCAGATAAACAATCTTACTGGAGATAATCTTTTGTTTACCTTTCATAGTTGTCCAAAAAAGAGTAAGAAATTATCAATTGAAGAGAAGCAGCTTAGAGTTCCTGAAGAGGAGGATGAAAATTGCGAGAACAAATTTTAAACAAATGATGTGAAATTCTCTTAAGGGCGATGGACAAGACACTGACCATGAACTGTACCCAAATGGACCACTCTTAAATGAATTCACCTTAAAAAAATCCTATTTAGAATGAGTTTTTTTGAAAGCACTGCTGTCTAATATGTATATGCTTGCATTGCATGTGCCTTTGTCATAAACATACAGTATTTTTTAGTTAAAAGTCAAACATCAACTTCAAGACAGCACTGGGAATGGCATTAAATTGTTTCCACAGTTTTCTTTGTTTCAGTACTTTATTTTACTTAATGCTTGTGTCCACTCTAATTATATAGAGTATTGTTTCAATATGCTTTGAGCTTCAACTAATTCACACTTGTAAACACATTAGCTCTTATTTTGACCAATGACAATGTGTCAGATTATACAACATGCTGCATTGTTGTGTTTCGGTTTTGATCATTATGCTGCTGTAAATTACATGTACCACTGAATCTAGAGATGGTTGACTGTGAAGAATTTAAGATACATGGAAAATTTCTGCATCAATCTATATACTGAAGCAGAAAATATTGAATATTACTGGACCACCTTACATCGTGACCAATACTGGGCCTTAGGGTAAGTAGCGCGACCTCCAGCTATTTTTCATTGGATGGACATAAATAATGGTTAAGATAATCACCTACATTTCATGCTATTTGTTGTGGCAAGCAGAATAGCAGAGAGGCTCAAAGGGTTGGTCCATTTTAGGATAGTCCATGTGGGTAGTCTTTAAGGGTAGTCCTTGGACTGTGGGTCTGTGTTTTGTTCATCACCCTCTCTGAAGTATGTAGAGAATTTTTACTGGGGTTGACTGAGTACCAGACACTCAGAGTAGATAATTATAGTGAAATGAGCTTTATTCATCAAGGTTGTTTCCCATGCCAAGAAAACTTGAATACAGTAATTAAGGTGTGCATGGAAATGAACCCTAAGTTACCTCTTATACACTGCTAAATTCCTATTCCAAAATGTTGTGTTTTCCCTTGTGAAACAGACAGAGAGTGTTGTATTAAGAGTCATTTAAGGCTTATTTCTGCACACCCTTTATATATAGAAAAGAAAAGAATGTTAAATTGTTCTTTTCTACCAGCTAAATAAGATAACTGTTGATATTTGGAATTAATGGACGACAAGTGCTTTTTTGGTTATTAAGCCCTAATTCAACAAGCAAAGATGGAAATATGTGCATGCAGTTGTCACCTCTCTCTACCTGAGGGAATAGATGTGATAACCATAAATATTAATGCTTTAGATAGGATTAAAAAAATAATATTTAACTTAATTATGATTTTACACATGTCTAAAATATTTGGGTTTTGTAATTAATTGTTCAATTTAAAATAAATATACATAGAGTCTTTTTGTGTTATTATTATTGTGTCACCATCATTTGTTAGATGGGCCATTTTTAATAAGGCATTATCTCATTTTTCTTATATTGAGATTCGGTTATTCATGTCAGCCTTAGCTGGAAAGAAAACTAAATTGTACATTGACACAAAAACATAAATGATGAAAAATATGCTTAAATTATAATAATATTTTTTAAAAAAGTAAAAGGATTTTGGTGGTTGTGAGAACTTGAAGAAATGTAAAGTTGCCATCTCGGCAGAGTGACAAAACTGACCTCTATCTCCAATTTGGCTCCGCGTGTTTGAAGGAAGAACAGTCCCAAAATTAAAGCATGTGTATCTTGAGATGAAGAGTAAGTCGTAAATGAACATGATTACTTTTGTATGCATTGCGGACCTGTGGAAATGACAGTGCAGTAGACCGCTGGATTGTTTTCAGTTCACCCACGTGGGAGCTAGACCAACATGGCAGCCGAATTATGTGGCAATTCTTGAACTCCAAACGGAATTCGAAGTTAATTTCGAAGTTGTCATTATGGGGAAAGACAAGAAGGGTAAAAAACGTTCGACCGGCTTGACAGAAGATATCCTTGAATCAAAAAGTGTTAGACCTTCAGGAAGAACGAAACAACGAAAGGATAGACAGGGAGAATCGGAAGACACGGTAAGATCAGATATGTTTGGATTGATTGTGAAATTCGGTTCTCCTTTCAGTGAAAGCACCGTCAACTTTGACTATTTAGCGTATAGGTGGAAGATTTTTTGACTGCACTTTTAAGTAGCATTTCCAGAAGGACATAAAATTGTTTACACAAAGTAAGGCTTGCGTGTTTGTTGTGTGCTATACTGTATAATTATCTGTACGTATCAGCGAGAATGAATTTGTATCAACAATACCTAGAAATCGTGGTATTCTCACTTTTTCTTAAGGTTGGCCTGAGGTTTTTTTTTAAATTACACCCATATCCGCAGTTGATATGAGCATTACCGAGACGTTTTTGGTTTGAATTTGTCTATCGTCAGCCCGTGCAAGGCTCCTTGAGCATGTTGGTGGACTCAAGTGAAAGAGGGAGCAAAACTAGCAAGCAAGCAGACACGGGATTTGGGCATGTTTTAGAAACAGCTGTCTTGCATTTTTCTTCGGGCTTCTGCTTTTTTTAAAAGTACCATTTTTCGTGTGCTCACATTTAAACTTATCTTTAGTGACTGTGAGCCTTTAACAGTCTTCTTCCCTATGTTTTGTGATGTTATTGATTTTGACATTAATTTTGACATTGATTTTTTTATACAATATTTAATTTGAAATGTGTCTTTAATGTATGAACCATAGTCTTTTGTATGTCAACAGTTTGTTGAAGAAAAGCTATCAAGAAAAATTCTAGAACAGGCAAGAAAGCAACAAGATGAATTGGAAGCAGAGTTTGGTGTGGCTTCTGGCTCAAACAAATCATTAAAGACAGCACAAACACGTCTAGGTCCACCTGAGTTACAAAATTTGGATGCAGACGAGTTGGAATCAGATGAAGATGATGCAGCATCAGTTGCTAGTGAACAGTTCTATGAAAACATTGTGAGTTATTGTTATCCCTTTTTGATTCCATGATTATGGTGATCAATAATTTGCATTTATGTAGCAGTCACTTCTGTAGATCTTGATGTTTCAACTGTATGCCACTAGTCTTCTCTAGATGATCAGGTTGAATAGATATACATCACCTCCTAATAGATTGATCAATTTGAAGCTTGAACACCCAACAACCAACGAAATGATCAGCTCCCAGTTGGCTTGTTACAGTAGTTCATGTTGGAGCTTTGAACTGATAAGTGTGTAAAGTATAATGCTCTGCTGTGATCCTTGTTGAGTAGCTGAGATTTGCTTCTCTGTGCTTTACAGGAAGTTGATGAAGAAGATGAACAAGCATTTGAAGTATTTATGTCAAAAGATACACCAGCTAGGAGAACTCTGGCTGATGTGATCATGGAAAAAATTCGAGACAAGAAGACAGAAATAGAAAGTCAAATGTCAGGTTTGAGATGAAGATCTTCTGCAGTATTTACTAAGAAAGAGTCACCCCATGGTTTTTTTAAATTTATTATCATTACTTCCCAAGATGTAGGTAGGATTAGATATTAATTCTTTTCACTGGCTGCTATATATTTCTTTAAATTTTATATTGTGGGATTTAATGCGAAATTAAATTAAATCCCCTTGCTGATATTTTCTTACTTCTCATCACCTTTCTACCAGGAAATATATGGATGGAGAAATTCATTTTTATCACTCCAGAGATTGAGAGGCTCGTTGAACCAAATGATGGGTAACTTACTTGAAAATTGTGTTTTATTTTTATTCATTTTTGTCACAGAAAGATCCACAGCTCCACAGATGGATGAGCGGCTTGTTGAAGTTTTCAGAGGGTATGTAACTTAGGAGTATGTAGCTGTGCTTTTATGTGGAAATTTAAGAAGGATCCATCTTCACTTGACACAAATATATGCCACCACTAATTTTCTTTTTAACTTAGTTGAACAGTTGTTCAAGGTTTTTTTTTTGTCTAGGTAGAGAGTCTAAGGTCATTGTGTTATTAATGTGAAATGATACTTAAAAAACCAAAACCTGGACATTTGAAAAAATCTCAATATACAAATTCGTAGAAGATTTGGTTGATATTATGAAGCTAAATTTTCCAAATCTAAATGTTGTCAATCCTCTTTCAGAATCAAAAGTAATGAGATTATTATAAAAACAAGGAGAGTCTGAATTACTTCAAATTAAAGTAAATTAATGTTTGGTGTGTTTATAGTGTTGGACAAATCTTGGCTAAATACCGATCTGGGAAGTTGCCAAAGGCTTTTAAAGTTATTCCATCTCTCTCGAATTGGGAGGAGGTAAGTTTAAAACAAGGATCCAGTACATTATTTCATTTTTCAATGCCTCTACAGGGATTTGACCCTTTGACTCCCATGAGTGACCAAGATAGAATTTCTCCCCACAATTTCCATACAATATCATGCAGAAAAGTGATGAGAATAAAGAGAAATATCAATCAGGGGATTATTAGTTGATCCAATAACAAATTCTCAGAACTAAAATCATAAGAATTGTGGCAGTCATTAAGGTGAATTAGTAATGAGATCTTGGGTGTGAAAGGGTTAATGTTCAGAGCATAGTCCTAGCCCTCTTCTCTGCCATTCATTTGACCAGGTGCCTTACCCCTCTCTCTAATGAAACCCCTACCTTGAAAGAATTGAGGATACTTTAAGGTACATATACTGTTCACTGTTCAGGTGCTGTATATAACAGAACCAGAGAGGTGGACTGCAGCAGCCATGTTTCAAGCAACAAGGACATTTGTGTCAAATCTCAATGTTAAGATGGCTCAGAGGTTTGTTTTAATGCCATGAAGATACTAACAATGATTTAATTTAAAGTTTTTTTTGTGCTGCGTAATGTTATGAAGCACATGCAAGTTTTTCACATTTGGGCCTTAACAACTAATTGAAAAGTTTGAGAGAGCATTGTGTTAAAGGAATGATGTTTTACACAAGCTTTTAGAATGCATATATGTGTTCTGTTTATTGGGGGATTTTGGGTGGAGTTGAGGGAAGAGGTGATTTCTTGTTGTTTTTTAATCATTTAGGAGTAAAAATTTGCTTTTTGTAAATTGATTTTCAACAATTATAGTTGCCAATTTGTATTAGAAAAATCGTTTTGAATCACAGTGAACATGTATTTTGTCCATTCTACTGCTAGATTCTTCAACTTAGTGTTATTACCAAGAGTGAGAGATGACATTACAGAGTACAAACGACTCAACTACCATTTGTACATGGTAAGAACATCTGATATGAATATTTTAATCAGTTAACCATTGATACAATGTCAATTAACCTTCTCTCTGTCTTTTCCAGGCTTTAAATAAAGCATTATTCAAACCTGCTGCTTTCTTCAAAGGAATTTTATTACCCCTGTGTGAGGTGAAATGAGTGATCCATTGTACCATTTGTCAAGTAAATTTTGTGAATTTTGTTTGTAGCCTTTAATCTGCACAAAATTATGTCTCTTGGAAAAAAAACAACAACAACAGTAATTCCTCAATCCATTGAACTCTCAGGCAAATGGAGAAGGAAATATTTTGCAAGCAAACAAAGTGTCACTTTGTATTCTTAGCAGTCGTAAAAACTAGTTCCCAGAAGAAATTTCAGTCATCTCAAACTACAAAAATTATTCCCACAAAAGACAAAGAGACACACTTCAGTATTCTGCAATTGTTACTTTTCACATCAGAGGCTTGGGTATCAAGTGCGTCAGATTGTAGGAATTATGTGCCAGGGGTTGTGCTGCTGGTGAACTCATGATAATTGCTGATTGTTTTAAATTTAAGTGGCTTGAATTAATTCAGTATATAGCTTGATAACATAGAGTCTCCTCCGCAGCAGTTGTCATGTCTAGCTGCACAGAAAAAAAAAAAAACGCGAGGAGAAATCTTACCTCTCGCGTTTTCCTCGCGCTCTCCCGGGCCGTGCTTGCCTCAAAAACGCAATAGAGTGGCGCCAGTGGTGCAGAGTAGACGAGACATAAAGGATACTGCGAAGGATACTGGGTAGAATAATTTAGCAAGATTGTTCTTCTGAGCGATATGCATCCGATTGTCTGAAGAGGAAGGAAATGCAACAAACTACGGTGACGTTTTGAAATATTTTTTGTTGCTTTTCAGTCACGAACATGTACCTTGCGTGAGGCAATCATCATAGGAAGTTTGATCTCCAAGACTAGTATACCAGTTTTACACTCCAGTGCTGCTATGTTGAAAATTGCTGAAATGGATTATTCAGGTAACTTTTCTTCTTCCTGTTTGTTTTTATTTCTCATAATGAATAAGGTTAAATGAGTGTAGCCTTACAATTTGTTCACCCGCACACATGTTTCAAGACAGTCTAAAGTTAGGCTTGATCAGCCGCTTCTCAAGAAATGAGCCCGCGCTCTTCCTCCAAATTCCCTCTCTGAGGGATCGGAGACCGAACCTAGGAAAAGGCGGAAGTCGATTCGAAGTTGAAGTGAGCTGTACATTTTTATACGTGCATCTGTTTTAATGATACGTTATCCATGGTCTGATTTGCTTGATTATCTTTTTCGCTAGGTGCAAACAGTATTTTTTTGCGACACTTTTTTGACAAGAAATACGCGTTACCCTACAGAGTGATTGATGCTGTCGTTTATCACTTTTTACGGTGAGTAGTGCGGTCGGGGACTTAAATTAACTTAATAAGGTCTTATTTTAGTGGGTCGTTAGCAGAGCCTATTTCACCCAAAACGATTACTGTAGCTTAACTTTGAGGCATATATAGAATTTAAAATATAACAATTTCAAAATGTCTCCGAGATTCACCCCTAGGACTTCAAACGAGGCAGCAGAAAGGGTGTGTAGCGTAGGGATCCTACGACAGCGGAAGGAGAGCAGGATGTTTTGATTCGACCGTTTTCATACTCGTGGGGAATAAATACATTTAGGGAAAGCCCATTCACCTTGTTAAGCTCTTGCTTAGCTTTGCGTCATTGATAAGAGGGAGTTAAATTTATTGCATTTTCATTTCAACCCAGGTTCTTATCTGATAAGCGTATTCTTCCAGTCCTGTGGCATCAAAGTTTATTGACATTTGTTCAGAGGTAACTTTGGTGTATTATTAAAATTTTCTTCGTTATGTTAAGCTTTTAACTGATTATGAACGTTGTATTTAAAGCGTTAGTGTTACTCTTGATGTTTTACTTTGTCGTCGATCGTATTTGTGACGACCAATAAGAGACCTCCTTACAGTGGAACTCCGTTAAGTGCTAACTGTCCTCGCAGCGGATTTTCTTAACTTGTGAGGGGGGAGGGTAGAGGAGCTTAGGCGCGCGTTGAAGAGGGTAAGAAGGATTTATTTTTAAGACTTTTTTTGTGACGTTGAATCTTACTATACCGTATATACTCAATTAAAAGCCGCGGCGTTTTGAAATATTTAAGCGTTACACATCATATTTCTTGATACTGAGACCAGTTAGACCCATCAGTTACGGTAAATCATTTGGCCAGCTATAATCAATCGTTTGCAAGTACTATAATTTTTGTTTAGCTCTCGTGGCTTGCTCTTTTGCTAAGATAGATTCTCAATGGCCTGGTTTGTGATTTGTACACGTAAAATTGTAATTATTGTTTAGATTACCGATTAAGGGTTGGAAGTAAATTTGGTTTCTAATAATTCTTTTCTAAACTGCGCATTGCTCAAATTGAGTGCAGTTTTTATTCAAGAACGGTATCTACGGGTGATTCTGCTTCCATCTGCGGTGTCCATCCGGAGACGGCTTTCAATTCAATAAATACTCTACGGTTTGCTTTAGTGGACCGGGAAGAAATCACCATAGATGTAAGACTGTATCAAAGAAGAGCGTGGATGGTTTGGGACAGAGAAGATTAAAACGGATTTATCACTCGCACCACAGATTAATAAAAGGTGTTGCATATGTTGCAGGTATAAAGAGGATGTATCCAGTGAACAGAAAGACGCGTTGATGGAATTATGTAGAGCGCAAGTCCATGATCAGGTAAACCGAGTGTGTTTTTTGTTCTTTGTCCTTCTCCGATTGTTTTCGGCCTTTTAGTTTTAGCCAGAACTAGACCTGGTTTTGGATCAATATCAATATCTGAGATGTAGGTGGGCAGTTGCCCAGATACTGATATTGATCCCTGATTTTTTACTAAACGTGGTCTGCCCTCGGTCGGTTGGTAGCTAAATTTTCAGGGATAGTCGCCAAATCTGTGTTCGGCAAACAACTGGTTTGTTAACTTTTTAATTTTTTCAGTAATTTTCATAATCTGAGGTTAAAAAAGGATATACGTTTACATGGAATATCATCAGTTCCCCGTTGTTGCATCTTTCTCCTCGTTTTATGACATACGATTGCCGGCACTGTCCTCCAAAATTTTATTTTTTGCAATCATTTTCGAATTCCCCAGCGAAATAGCAACTTTAGAAAACCTTAAGCTTGAAGCACTGCAAAGAGTAATGAAGTGTTCCTGAAGTAACGATGCACATACATGTATGACCTGTGTTTGATCGCTTTCAACTCATTGAGATTCTTTCTCTTTCGTAGATTACCCCTGAAGTTCGTCGAGAGTTGAGCCACTCCAAGTCAAGGGATGCAGAAATAGAGCCCATGGATGTTTAAAAGACATTTCTTCTCTACATTAATTGTTTACTCCTTAGCTGCAGAACCAATTCGAATTTCCAGAAATGGAACTACCGTCGAACAGACTGCCCAGAGCACATGATTATCCAAAAAACTGGAATTAACCCCAAGGGTTTTGTTATGGCGCAGAACGCTTGACATTTAAAAAAGCCAAAGTGGTTGTTAGCAACAATTTGTGCTGCAAAAATGGGTCATCGTACATTTTATCTCTTTCTTAAATGTTTATGCAAACTATTGGTTTTGCAGCGAATAAGTGATGATAAAACGGATCTTTGCCGGAATTGTCTCGACCATGTGGGTATAACAAGTCTACGAGGGTCTACGAAATCGCTGTTTTCGTGCATCTTTGGAATTTCGTTAACTCTCCAACTTTTGTGATCAATTCAAAAAGGAGATACGAATACTTGTACGTGAGAATGTTTCTAGCTTACCTATGGAACGATTCAAAAGAGAGTTTGCCAATTTCACGACCTGCAAATAGCTCTTTTGCAACCAACGAATAACTACAGGTCACAGACTGAGAGCTTTGAAGTTAGATGATACTTTGAAAATCCGTCCAAAGATAAACGAACTCAGATTGCCTCTTTGAGTTAGTTTTTTTCTATTAAAAAAAGTAACTCTATGTTAGTGTGTAGAGTGGTATGTTGCCCGCACCGATCAGATCGCCGCATTTGGGTATGTATCTCGCACCAATCAGATTGCCGCATTAGGGTGTGTATCTTGCACCAATCATATCACAGCATTCACATCACACACAGGGCAAAGTCCAGATAGGCAATAACCAATCAAGGAGCACTCTTTGAAATATTATTCTTTCTCGTGTGCAATGTATCTTCACTTGAGATCGCAATATATCTTTGGTTGGGGGTCTATTAGAGATGCAACAGAGTTTTAGTTGCTTTTCGTGGTAAAATTACTTGGAATTATACTTTTAAAGCAACTTATTGTTGACAAATAATTTTGATATGCTCTCTGTTAGAGGAACAGGAGTAAGCGTAGTCCCTTTCGCAACCGTTATTTGGTCTCAAAACTCCACGCGAGCTCTCTCCAACGGTGAATATTAGACTCTTAATACAATTCGTCTCGGGATACATCTGGACTCTTGGGAAAACAAAACTGTTTCCCACGCGACCATACATTAAGTGCTTTGTTATGTATTTAAAATTTTCCTTAAACAATCATATGGCGAAAACATACTGTTGTATTCGGCGCGCGGGCAACATCTGCGCAATCGTATCCCAATCACGACACATTTGAATTTGATTAGGGCACATGACCAAAAATTAACCAATCACAGTGCTCGTTTTGTTGAGTAAAATTCTAGGTTTATAACAAATGGCATTGTGTGAGGAGACCAAACAACAGCTGCGAGGGAAAGAACATTAAGCGAGGCACCGATGCGTTTGATTTTTGCTCAGAAGTATTAAGACAACAGACCACAAAATACCTGTGTGAGTTCAGATAAATGTGGTTTTTTTTTATTCTCTCAAGGTAAAGTAATGCGATATTTTCGTCCGTTTGAAAGTTACACAAAGTGTTCCATCTTCGCTCAACCAAAAAAAATAACTCGGGCATGCTTATGTTTACTAGATGTTACTTTACTATAACATGCAGGACTGGCATCTTTAAAATAAAATAAATACGGTGGCTTAAATTCGTTTGTTCCATACAGGTTCTTTTTTCTCCTCTTCGTCATATTTCTTAGCCTCTTGATTTTCTGCTCCGTCTTTAAAACGATTTTAAGTTACAACATACGCATGTGTCAGGATGGGAAAGAGAGGAAGAACTTAAGAAGTCTCTTCGAATGAGTTTATGGCAGGAAAACTGAACCCTCGCTGAACGGGGCTGAGTGTATAGATCTCTACAGAAAGTGCTCCCTAACTAATCTTCTTCGCAGCCGATTCTTGGGTTATTACGCAACGCGTTCACCAAAAATCTAGAAGCATCCTCTAGAGGAGCATTACGTGATATCCTTCATTTGGTATGTCACTCAACGCTCCAAACCCCCCCACCCCCTTCTCCACTAGTACCCACCCAAGGGGATGCATCTCTGAGAACAGGTTGCGTAATAATGCCAGAAACGGCTGCGGGAAAGATTATGGTAGCACTTTTGTGGAGAACTTAAAACCAATACGGGGATACTCGGCCCCTAAAGATATCCCCGCTTTAGTAGTGGTCCAACTTTCCTGCTGGGATTAAGTTGCCTACATTTTGCATTACCGATATTTAGACAATGGCGCCCAATGTTTGACGGTTTAGTGACAGATTTTAGATATAAATGTCTGATAATGGACATAAGGGTCTGATTTCGGACAAAATTGTACAAAATGTAACAGTACTGTCCGATTTTAAGTATGGATAATTTTATCCGATATTGTCAGACACTACTGTTTGATTTTAGACACGCACTAGTGTCCGATATTAGACGCTAGTGTCCAATTTTAGGCACTTAAACGCTTTGGACACCAATTTGGGACACTAGTCCCGACCTTATGAATCAACGTGAGGCGTGAAATACAAAATATAAAATAAAATATGTGGAAATCTATTTTTTAAAAAATAGAATTTTAATTAATAAATCAAGAATAATTCGGTCTTTTTGTTTTTTTCGCTTCGTTTGTTTCATTTTTGGTCGTTTCGTTTGTTAGTAAGTCCAACTAATCTGACCTCGCGTGGTTCGGCGAGTAACGGTCTGCTATATTTTTTCGCCTTCGTCCGCTTGTGATGACGTCGCGAGAAAAATTGTTCTTCCTATTCTCGAACGCCTTGATCGAGCTCTATGAGGTAAAGCTAAAACAAGATAAAATTTAAGCCGGAAACTGCAGTTACCACACTGGAAAGGTACAATTCAAGTTTGAGGTCTAAAATATGTCTGATGTTTAGTGCATAACGTCTGAGGAGGAATAGAACACTTACTTCCATTACATGACTCTTTCTTCGCTAATGTAATAATCTGGCGCTTGTTAAGGCCCCTCCTCCTTCTTTGTCTTTTGCTCGTGGGAGTTTTGACACTTTTTGACGCGACAACTTAAATAAATAAGTAAAAATATAGGATAAAAAGCTCTCTAGGAGTTAAAAACGGTGGGAAATTGTTGCGCGGTATAGGAATTTTCAGTAATCAGCGCCTGGCGATAGATATCCTAGCACTTGAACCCTACTTCCATGTTTGTTTGGCCTTTCCATGGCAATCACGAATAAACATGTTTTTTTAAACGACGTAATTTGCTCCGGAAGAGCGCCATCGTGTTCGCACGACAAAGAGTTGGGAAACATCGGAATGTCCTGGAAATCTTCTCATTTTTCACCGGTTTCGCCTCCCCTTTATAAATATTTCCTCCACTGAAGTTTTTTAAAGTATGCAGTGCTGGAGCGACGAGTAAATATTTTTAGGGTCATATCCTGTGCCATGAAAATCTATTGTTTTGCAATATTGATCTAAAAAACAATTAAAATACCTTCTCCTCTGAAGGTGTTTTCCTGATGACTCTCACTAAACAGCAGAACAAAAGATGTGCGTTTTAATCCTTTTGTTGTTGTTGAAAAGAAAATTGTTATTTTAAATGTCGCAACTTTTCCTCCTACTCATTATAGGGCGTCGCCGCACTTTTCACAGCAAAAAAAAATACCTGGAGATCCCGGATAAGCCAATTAAACTGCGGGAACTGTTCATAATGATTGACAATCGGAAATGTGATGGTTTATGATAAAAAGCCTTGTACTCAACTGAGATAACTGTAAATGGATGTGAGTCGAAGTGCGTTCCACTACGTACAAGATGACTCGAAATTTGTGGTCTTTGCTTGCGTTAGTCATCATTGTGGTGGGTTGCTCAGGTATGTGAGTTGCCTTGTCGTCAATTTGAGTCGTTGATCTGTTGAAAACGCCCGTCAATTGACAGAGTGATATCTTGAGGGAGCGACTTGCATTGCACAGGTTTCTGATAGCGGAAACTTCTCTCTGCAGGAGTATTTTTAGATACTTTATTTTGTAGCGTATTCATCACTAGTGCTTTCGGTTTTCTTTCCTTGGCTCAACTTCACCAAATCCAGGAAATAACCGTTTTTTTGCTACAACATCTGACGCGTTAAAGTTATCGAAGAGCGCGCCGAATTTTAATCGTAACGTTACAAAACTACCAAAAAAATCTGTTTGATCTCATTTAGCTTTAAACTTGATAATCACACTTCGCTTGTTGATAAGTCAAATACTTATGCAGTGGTTGTTGTTGAAAGTCTACGTAAGTGTTTTTCCAATTGGTTCTAATGGTATTTTTAGAAATCTTACTCGGGGGACTGCTTCTTGCAGACGTGACCTCTACTTTGACCTGTTATTTTTTCCATGCCGTCCTTCATCACCTCTTACTTCTGTTTACAGAAGAACAAAGCACTTCAATTTCACAAGTAAATGGGTTCTCGAATTTATTTTTGTTTCTCCTACTCGAAGATTTTACGCTGTTTACCCCCTTGCCACGATTTCGATCCTCCGTTAGGCCATAATGAAACACGCACCGCAATTCCTCTAATTTTGCAGTGGTTACGATTGTTTCTGACCTATGAGTACTCAGCAAATGTTAGCGTAACCCTTTCAGTGATTTCGCTCCCTAGATCTTTTTATCAATTCTCCCTACTATTCTTGATAGATTTCGTGTGATTTAGTGTAACCTTAAGCAACATTTTCTATCTTAATTCTCTTTACCTTTCTATTAGATGTCCTATAGAGGCTGTTAGGAGAAATTACATATTGGTCATTTTTGGGAGTTTAAAGGTTATGCTTTGTGGATTTGGTGGTATTGATTTGCAAAATTAATAGAAATTTCTATTTTTTGGTTTACAAACGACCAAATCATAACTTTCCATTTTCAGTGTAAGTCCAATTATTTATTTAATCCTTTAATTCCATGGGAAACCACAAAAAATTTATGCAAATTACATTATAAATATAAAATCAAGAAGACAAGTGATAAGAATAAAGAAATTAGGGAATTTTTGGTTGATCCAATACCAAACTCTCCAAACCAACATCATAAGAATTGTATAGTAGACAGTAAGGAGAATTACTAATGAGATCTTGGGAGTGAAAGGGTTGACCAAGATTTATCGTGACTTAAGTATAATGTGCTTTGTCTTTAATTTTTAGGTGACCCGTGCAATGAAAAGAAATGCACTGGTCAGGGACAAGTTTGTTCTGTTGACAAAAATAACAAAGCTGTTTGTAAATGTAAAGATTCTTGCCCAGGGTCAGACAATAAAAGAGTCTGTGGGTCCGATGGTATCACTTACCGAAATCGCTGTCAACTAGATATGACATCCTGTAAGCTTAGCATAAACATTACAGTGGTTTCTGTTGGTAAATGTGGAGGTGAGTTGAGTGCTCCTGATAATAAGTGATGTGTAGTTAAAAAAAGGGAAATCCTGCACCAGTGCCAAGTGCACCATTTAGATGGACCCATTTAGTAACAAGGAGTGTTGTTACTCCCCCCCCACCCCCCTGGTGGGATGCCAGAGACTTCCCTGATAGTTTATCAGGTAGGGTCTAGCCTAGAAATATGGACTCCTGACTCTCCCCACTTGTTTAAAATTTAAAAAGAAAGGAAATTACAAACCATGAGTGCGTAATACTTAAAAAAAAAAAATCATCTCATTTTGACTTCAGGTCATAAAAACTAATTTACAAGAAAGTTTAACTTGCCACATGACTGTCAGCTGCAAGCCCCCACTTTCAGGGTCATGTTTACAATTTCATTGAAGGCAAAGCAGAATGGTCTTGTGGGTTTACCAGAGGTTAAATCCAAGTTCAATTATATTTATCAGCAATTATCTCTCTTGACCAGTTCATGATTTCAGGTTGCCATGGGAGACTTGAGCTTGGAAACCTAACCCAAGAAAAAAGAAATTAGATGCAAGTTCTTACCCAGGTTATCATATTGTGAATAATCAATTATTATTGTCTTTTGCTTGTTCTTTTTCTTCTTCAGAGATTCCTTTGAAAATCAGCCCACAACATCAGTCTTCTCAAACTCTCTATGCTGGGAAACCGGGCAAAATAGAATGCAAAATCATTGGAAATGCTGCCCAATACTTGTGGCGCAAAGTTGGCCTAAGAAGTCTGCCATACGGTAGAGTTTTACCTCTCAATTTCAATAAACTTCTTTTCCGCCGAGTCCAGTTGAAAGATGCTGGGAGATATGAGTGCCGCGCATATTCAGGATCAATGCGTGTAGTGGTTCCAATAACTGTTGTTGTCTTGGGTAAGTTGATTTTTTTTTTTGTAATTAGATGATGCTTCAAATATCTGCTACTGAAAAAACTAACCAGTTAATCAAACTATGGCACAATTTTCAAAGGTGATCATGCAGGTCATGTGTAATTAGACATTACTAAATATCCTAATTTTATTTATGAATCATATTGTCGGGTAATTAAGAAATCAGACTCTGTCTTTGTGGTTGTCGGATTTTGTTTATTTCTTCTATGGTTACAGACCAAATTTGTCTCCTGGCCTTCCCATCATCTTTATTTTGAATAAAGACAGCCAGCCAGTCAGTCAGTCAGTCAGTCAGTCAATATACCAATCACTCAGGAATTAATGTGTGAATCAATTGCCAAATGTTACCAGTGTGAGTGTCTGGTAATTAGTTCTTAAAAGAAATATTGTTGG